GTAATTTGAACATAGATAAGGGGTAAAGAGACTGGATGTCCTAACCACTAAGTCAGCACCAACCATTGATTTTTATTTACACTAACATAGACTATATCTTATACAATAATTAATGCCGGAAAAAAATGAAAATTTTGACATATTAAGATTTGAATTTAGGCCAAATAAAATACTAACAAGCACTTAACAACTAAAAAATTATTATAATTGAATATTAAGTGGATATGGTGTATACATATTTTAAACTCTAATTATTATAAGATTAAAAGAAAAATCGGGGTTAAAGATTTTATATTTGTAAACTAAATTTAATATTTTTTACATTTATAATTTATTGATTATATATATAATCATTAAATTGAGCCTTTTTTAATTTAATAAATAGTTTTATATTTTTCACTAAAAAATAAAATGTAGAAATCATTTATATTTTTGTTAATTTTTATTAGATTGTATAGTTTAAAATGTCTAATTTAAAGTCGACTTTAATCATGATAACATTATAACTTAAATTATAAACTTTGAACTACACAATTCAAGGAAAAAAAAAGAAAAATATAAATGATTCATATATTTTATTTTTCAAAAAAATATAAAATGTTTAATTAAATTAAAAAACTCAATTTAATAATTATAAACATAATCAATGAGTTATAAATGTAAAAAAGAAAAAAATATTATTAATAATTAGTTGATCTAGTGGGGTGAGACACTAGATCTCGTAAGAAATGTTAGGAGTTCAAATATTTATGTTTGTGAATGGAGCAAATTGTGTTGAAAGGGTCGCCCATTACTTTTGTATTTTTTTATTTGGATTAACTGATCAATAGATCGAATACTGATAATTATATATAAAAAAATTATTAGATTTAGCTGTTCAATTCTCACTATGTCAAATTTTTATTTTTATTTTTTTGGTATTAATTACAATATAAGATATACACGGTATCGTGGAAAATAAAACCTACTGGCTGGGACTGGCTCAGTGAATGGGGTTTCCATCTTCCTTACCACTTAGACCAGATTTGAATCACAATGAAATTATCTTTAGTTCCTTTCTTTGTGCTTTGTTTTTCCTCAATGAGATGATGGCATGTGTTATCATTTGATTAGAGGAATATATTTATTGAATTAACTTAAAATTAAGATCAAATTGATAGAATGTGTAAGTCTTGAGGACCAAATGTATAATTATACTAATTTTATTAACTGTCATATTACCTCTTCCGTTAAAAATTAACTGACAGTTGTTTTATTTGGAACATTTAAATAATTGAATAATTTTATTGACAAAATCGAAATATTGATGATCAAATGAAAAAAGTACAATAATTAAGTGATCACCCATATAGTTCACTCTTTTATAAACACATGTTTTCTTATCATTTTAGATTTAGTTTTTAATCACACTTATAATAATTTATGCGTAACAAAAAAAATTTGATGATAAATTACAAACTTATTTTAAATTTTTTGTTAAAGATGAAAAGTTAAACAAAGGACACAGAAAACAAACCCAAATATGCTAAAAGAATAACAAAGGAAAACCAACCAAAAAAACCATATAGCCACACCCTACCCCCACAAAACAAAACTTCCCAATAATCGAAATCTGAGAATACTCCAATCAAATCATACGGCCATGTAAGCTTGCAGCTTATCTTGTTTTGAATTTCATGCCGAAATGGCAGCGATTGATTCCATTCTTCACCCCCATACTCTTGATATTTTACCCTCAAATTCTTCCAACCACAAGCTGAGATTTTTTTATTATGGGTTGTATATTCGGTTGTAATGTGTTTATTATAATTACGATAATTATGAGTCTTATTGCAACTGTTATAGATATCGATTTATACGATAAAAATTTCAGACGATACTTTCACAGCTATATAATAACTACTATTTTGCAAGAATATTCTAGTATATTTGTTATATTATGACCTAAATTATAATTGGTGATTAAGTTAAATTTTATTATAATTTTAGTGGTAAATATTATTTGGTAATTAGGTTTATTTGACTCTATAAATAAAGATTATATATTAACCTTTAGCATAACGTGAGAGAGAATTATTTTTTAGAGATGTAACCCTTTTGGATTTTTGTAAGTTTTAGGGTTTATGTTGTGGGGATGTTGTAAGAGTATTTTCGGAAATATTGGGTTTTAAGATACGTGTGATATCACGTATTTCTACTCTTTGTATTCTCTACGTTTATAGTAAATTTCTATTTATTTCTCTTGTGGAGTTAGGCAACGTCGAATCACATTAAATTTTGTCTTTTATGCATGTATTATTTTATGTTGATATTGTTTTTGTTATTTTTTCCGGTCTCAAATTTCTAACAATTTGGATTGTGCAGTTTTGAAAGAATTTTTCGTTGTGGATTTTGTTAACGATTTCAAAGACATTCAATATGAATTTGTTGCAATTAATTTTTAGTTGCAGTAAAGTAATTTTCTATTGATCTAGTGATAGTTCAATGAATATTGTATAAGAATTTGAGTTGGTAAAAACTTGACAGCAGTGCTTCAATATATATGCATTTTACATAAAAATTGAAGTTGTTGAAGACTTAAAAGACCAACTTTTGAAGAAAATTTAGGTTAAGGGGGAGATTTGTTATATTTTGACTTAAATTATAATTGATGATCAAGTTGAATTTTGTTATAATTTTAGTATTTAAAGATTACTTGATAATTAATATCATTTCATAAAGCAAATATTTATTTTAGACAATAATTTTTATGGAATAACAATTCTTAGTGATCAAGTATTTGATTCTATAGTAATGTGAGAGAGAATTATTTTGGGAGAGGTGTAAGCCATTTTGGGATGTTGTAGAGATAATTTTGCAGGGGTGTTGGATGAGTGCTTTGAAATATATGTGATATCATGTATTTGTATTCTTCGTATTCTTTACGTTTATAGTGGATTTTTGTATATCTCGTATATGAAGGTACGCAAAGTCAAAATATTAAATATTGTTTATTGTGCATGTCTTCGCTTTGTTTATCTTTTCAGCTCCCAAATTTCTAACATGTTCAAACAAGCATTTTGCTGGTCTCTTAAAGTAAAGACACTTAGGTTTACAAAGCATGAAAGCTGATTAACTTCTACAATTCTCCTAATAAAGCTGATTCTGATCACCATACCGGGGACTAGCTAGCAACTCTCAAGAAAAATATGCATTCACTTAAAACTGAAGAAAGATACGAGAATTACTAGTAATGTTATATTAACCATCTTTATGATAACTTAACTGAAGAAACAGCTAATTACTTCAAGAGAAAATCGCCTCAGTGACCAAAAATGTCTTATAATATACGATTTTAATCAACTTTTTTTGGATTTGCCAAAATGACCAACAAAATCGCAACGCGATATCAAAATCGCAACGCGATTTAGAAAATCGCAACGTTGAAAAGAAAATCGCAACGGTCGAAAGAAAATCGCAACGCGATCTTCCAAGAATCGCAATGCGATCCAAAGAATCGCAATGCGATCCAAAGAATCGCAATGCGATCCAAAGAATCGCAATGCGAGCCAAAGAATCGCAATGCGATTCCAAGAATCGCAATGCGATTCCAAGAATCGCAATGCGATCTTCGAAGAATCGCAACGCGATCGAGAAAATCGCAACGCGATTCCAATAATCGCAACGCGATTGAGAAAATCGCAACGCGATTCCAAGAATCGCAACGCGATTGAGAAAATCGCAATGCGATTCCAAGAATCGCAAAACGGCAAAAGAAAATCTCAAAAGCAGTAGAGTTGTTCGTATTGCATTTGTTTCTTAAAAATTTTCTCTAAAAAGATAGTATCCGCGCGGACGTGTCGAAGACACGTATGACCACGACCACGACCACGACCACGACCACGACCACGACCCGAGACGAGACGGCGGCGGCGGCGGCGCGCGAGAGTCCCCCTTGTTCTCTTTCACTCAACAAGGAAATGAGAAATTCAAGCCTTAAATACACTTCCCAATAGTGTTTCCAATACTATGTGGGATTGAACATTACCAACAACCTTCACATGTCAACCTATTTTGTGTGCTTAATTTGACTGTGCCATTCACTAAAATTGTTGGAGATTAGTTCATTTGAAGAAGTGTAACTAATAAACCATAAGCCAAGTAAATTGCTTTTATTTGTCGTGAAATGATGTCCCTGCAACCTTTGGTGGAACTTTGGACCTTGTAATAAACTTGAACTATGCTTCCAGTTCCATCCAGTAGAGAATTTAAAATCATAACTTGTAACTTTATCTCCAATATCACAAAGCAACAAAAAATCTACAAGAAATTGACCAGCTATGAGGAGAGTCTTGAATGTAGAATTGTTGTGTATAAATCCACATGTATGCATAACCGGGTAGAAATTATATTTGTATACGGCAACCCACCCTTTTTCACTAAACAAAACAATTTTGGCATACCAAATGAACTAATCTCTCTTATAGTCACACTCAAGCTCTTAGCAAAATAGGTTGACATGTGAAGATTGTTGGTAATGTTCAATCCCACATAGTATTGGAAACACTATTGGGAAGTGTATTTAAGGTTTGAATTTCTCATTTCCTTGTTGAGTGAAAGAGAACAAGGGGGACTCTCGCGCTCCGCCGCCGCCGCCGTCTCGTCTCGTCTCGTCTCGTCTCGTCGTGGTCGTGGTCGTGGTCGTGGTCGTGGTCGTGGTCGTGGTAATACGTGTCTTCGACACGTCCGCGCGGATACTATCTTTTTAGAGAAAATTCTTAAGAAACAAATGCAATACGAACAGCTCTACTGCTTTTGAGATTTTCTTTTGCCGTTTTGCGATTCTTGGAATCGCGTTGCGATTTTCTCAATCGCATTGCGATTTTTGTTTCGCATTGCGATTTTGTTGGTCATTTTGGCAAATCCAAAAAAAGTTGATTAAAATCGTATATTATAAGGCATTTTTGGTCACTGAGGCGATTTTCTCTTACTTCAACTACATCTCTGAAATATAGCAGTCCTCAATCTTGGAGCACTTGCTCATTCACAGTTGATATGCTGGCATGGTGCACCTGAAGCTCTAGGGCTCTAAGAGCTCTCATCAGTCTTGCAGCTGGGTAATTGACATCAGGACATTGAACTCGAATCATGGCATCTGACCCTACAATCTTCACGTCGACTTTCATGAGTGTTGGCCCATAGTTTGAGGTCTGCCTTGTATTGCCAATGGCGCTTAGCTCTGATTTTTGGGATTGAACTTTGAGGGAAATCTCCAGTTTTTCAATCTTGGATCGAAGCTCGTTGATATAGGCTACTGCATCTGAAAGTAAAGACGCTTTGTCCATCTTGGACACGTTAGGAACCACGGATCGAAGTGCATAGAATCGATGGTTCAGCTTCTCGCGTCGAACCCTTTCGGCTTCGACGTGGTTTGAAGGGGTTGTTTTTCCACTCCCCGGCTTCCATCCTCTCTTCTTCAACTGAACGTTGAACTCCATATCGGCGGCGGAGGCAAAATTGCCTTCAGAACCAGCACCGGAGTCCGATGACGAACGGAGTAATAAATCCTTAGTATCTTTGTTTGTGTCACTTTGTTGCTTATGATCACTTGAAACCTTCCCAATATCAAGATGAGGGACTATTTGAGTTGCAATTTGGACCTCAGAACCGAAAATTGATTTTGCAAGCTGCAGCATGGCCCAATTCTCTTGTATCATTTCGGAAGATCCCAATTCAACAACCCCGAAGGATGTCGAAAGGAAGACTATGGTCCGAATTCCTCGCATTTGAGCTTCTTTAACTCGGTCACATTCGTACAACTGCAGCTCCTGGTCTCCAGTCAACCATATGTAGGAGCCTGAGCCGAAGGTCTTCCCAACAGCGCCATCTCCGATGGCGAAAACTTGGGTTATCGATGCGGTGTAATACCACTCGAAGTCAGTGACATCGGCATCCACCATTATCTCAAAACTAGACACAAATCTGGGTTGGCCAAGCTTATTAGATTTGCCTGTAAAAACCGTGGTCCCTTGAAAATATCCATCGCCCCATGATAACACAAGGTGGTTATGAGCCTTCCTGGAAGCTTGCCAGAAAATGGAATACACCCACCATTCAGGCCTGCTTTGGAGGAGGAACTGGAGACGTTGCTGCAGCGTTGAGGAGGCGTCTCGGCCGAATGTGATTTGAGAAGACGAAGAAGATGAAGACATGGTATTGCTCCCCTCTGAAATGTAAATTCTTTCTACTCTTTGTTGGACAGAAAGGGACATTAAAAAAGGCAACACAAGAAGGGATTATGCGGCAAAAAAGAAGAAAAAATGGAGGAAATGGAAGGGATGAGCAGGCAAGGAGTGGGGGCGGGGTGTTGGGAGAGAACAAGAAATTCCTGGGCTTTAAATGAGCATACTTCATGAACTGTTTTCGGCCATGCTTGGCACGTTTATCACGTTGAAACTCTTATTCAAGGTTCGGCTGATCAGCCCCAAAGTTAAAAATGTTTGATTTTTTTATGCAGATCGCCTCAATTAGTTGCGAGATTCAGAACTCCACGCGTCGTTTTCAAACTGAATTCGCCACTTCTGGACATTTTTCTGTTCATAAAAATAAAGTTACATTAAGAATTTTTGTCTGCATTACTCGTTTATGTCTTTACGATGTGTGGGATTTAAACTGTGGTCCGCTAGTGGAATTACAATTTCTACGAAGCAATAGAGATGGTGTCCGAAACAGTCACATATAGTAAAAAATAGTGATGAATCGTTATCATAATTCAACAATAACGGATTGTTATTTCGATTATTGTTTCGTTATTCTACTTTCTAAAAAATAATCAACTACTTTTAAAAAGAAAATCATCTTCTTTAAAAAAAAATCATGACCTTGATACCTGTACTAATTGTAATAGTATTTGTTGTCTTTGCAACTGTAATAAACATTATATGATTATGTACTTGATCATAACCCTAATTTAAGTCGACGAATAGATGATGAATCCCTTAGAAGACAGAATTTTCGAAGAAACACGCCAGTGAATGTGTAACTTATACTGTCCAATCTGAGCAACAGTTCTTAATTATTTAACTGATAATCTGACCTTATGTTGATTTTTAATCAGTTTTAAGGTGTAAATGATGACTTTCCAGCTTATTGTTCATGTACCAGAATCATTTTCTCCCATTCGGTACAAATTGCGGCTTCAAGTACTATTAATGTAAAGAAAAGTGGGTTTTGAAATTTGGATTTGATTGGATTCCTTTGTTATTTAAGATAAATATTAGTACAATGGTTAATGAAAGATGTTCAAAATAAATATTAGTACAATAATTAATGAAAGATGTTAAAAAATTTTGATATTTTTAAAGAACTTTTCAATGATTTAACAATTTTTTGTTCAGAAGACATTAGAATTGTGTTTTTCCAAAGACACTGAATATGTTATGTCTTTTGATGATACCTTTGCATTATGTTATGATGATGTGATGTAAAAAGATAGAAAATGAAAAAAACAAGAAATATGTTAGTACATATAAGATAATCGATAAAGAATGAATTGTTATATAACACCTAACCCATCATAATATCTACTCAGACATGTTTTTATTAAATACAAAATTCTACCCAGATTGATTGTTTTCTACCAGATACATTTTATTTCTATCAATCCTAACTGCATGGTATCTAATTCGCATTCTTTCATTCAGAAAGAAATTTAATCTATAAATTTAAAGCAAAGTGTAAATGTTCATAATCGTTCCTCCTTTGTGAATGTCTATTCCGTTACTACTGACAAAAAGAGGTTTGGTATGGCTCTACTTAGGGTGATCATTCTATGGTTCACTATATACATGGTTACGGCTCTAGAGGACTCCGTACACGAGTCATAGATATCACATCAAATAATCAAAACATTTCTTAACCCAAAATAGGTAAAATTTTGTTTTTTTCACAAATTTCATATTTGTAACCATTTATATTATAAAATAAATAATCAAGGAATTCAAAATATAATATTTCAACTTCTAATCCAAATCTGATCTCAGGTAGTAACAAGCAGTTATGCTCTGTTCATATAATAAATAAAATTTCCTTATTTAAAAATCCAATTTAATTAATAATTAAAATATAATTTAATATAGAAATATTTTTTATACTATAATTTTATTTAATACTAACTATAATAAAAATTTGCAGATATTTCATTTATGCCAACTAGAAACTTTAGAACAACATAGGATGTCATTACTATTACCTGAAAATATTCCTTGATGGTTGTTGTCAAACTCATCTCCTTACACCTTTTTCTTCCTTTTACCTACACGTGAAAATATCACATGCTAAGTATACACTTAGTGAGGCAATCAATAGAAATATATTCAAGGCAATGCAACATATAAACGTAAACAATGATAATATTCAATGCATTATGATCACTTTACCTGTATTTCCAATGATGATACTAATATGAACATGATATGAATAACATATAAACTTATTACCACTATACTTGTCATGTATTCTATAAGCTCATAAGCTTATTCACATGTTTATCATTTATTAACCAATAAACCATAACCCAATTTAAACTCTGAGGACCCTTGGTACATGAATCAAATATATGCACCGTAGTGTTAACCCGGACACATAAGGTTGTGCCCACTATCTGCGCTAGTTATACTTTAGTGCAGTCTCGAATATGACACATAAGGTCTTGCCCCCATATGCACTAGTTATACTTTAGTGCAATCCTGAATATGACACATAAGGTCATGGCCACCATATGCACTAGTTATACTTTAGTGTAATCCCTAATATGTAGCTTGCTACTAGACTATATGGCATGCCAACTATAGTCTGTCCCTCAATGACTTACTTGGGCTTATAGTCTATTTTTATTCCTTCCATGGCAATATATATTAATATATTTTAACCTTGGGCATTTCATACCCGAAATAACATTCGCAATAAACATCATATATATTCATGATAAACATCATATATATTCATGATAAACATCATATATAATAACTAGTGATCAATGCATTTTATATTCAATCTTTGACATATTTATAATATGTCAAATATATGATAAATGAGACAAATATCATGCCAATATAAACAAGGTAGACTTATAGCAAGTCCTACCCAATGATGTATAAAACATCCATGTATAATGTTATGCATGCATTGTACTCACTTTGACATTATATACAAGTCAAAATATCAGCCTCACTAAGCTCTAACTTGATCTTTTGCTTCTAATTTGGTTAAATCCCAAAATTTGTCATAATTTCATATCCTGATAGTTTACACTACCTTTAAAGAAATATTATTTTGTATTAATATACATATTAAAACATTATTCTGTTTATCCCACTAGAAACTTGACTCGAATAAAAATATAATATATAAGGAACTTTATCTAGTTCAATTTGTACAATTTATAATGAATTTTCAAAATTGACTGATAGAATATGTTTTGAGCAGAATCCGTTGCTCTATTGTTTTACCTATCATCTGTTAAAAATTCATATCTTTTTGTATATACCTCGAAATCAATTTCCGTTTATTCTAAAAACAACTAGACTGATATGAAAATCCAATGGTATAAAAAATAATCCTCTAATCATTTTGTAGAATTTATGGTTATTTTCTAAACTTATTGTCCAAAACTAAATTTCTAAGCAGACTTCACCAATTTGCATTTTGAGCATGTCACTAATTCTATTAGCTCACCAAATTCACTTATATGCATGCATAAAAAATCACATAACATTTTAGGAGTCACTTCTTACCATAGTAACTCCGTCACTCGCTCATCGCAAGCCAATGTTTGTTCGATAACATAAGTACAAATTAAATTTGCACTCACCTGATCTCCTCAGCTTGCAAACTACCCTTAAGATTTTACATTCCATCCTTAAGCTTTTCCTAGCTTTAATATTGCTTGATCTTGATTTCAAGCACACAATCTAAATAAGCATCATTACAAACATATTCAAATTCAAACCAATTGTTAGAATTTTACTAACACAGGCACACAATAGAAAATAATTTCCTAAAAATTCTTTCGATGCTCATTCGATACTGATTCCATGTCACAACATAATTGTTAACCATAACACTTTAAAATTGACCATTCAATTCCCTTTTTATCCAAATTTCACATAACATTTTCACTTAAGTTCTTAACTTTTCCATATTTTTGATTTAAGCCTCAACTTTTACCAACCTCCCAAAATAATCCAATTTCACATTCTAACATCAATTTTAATTCTCAAACATTAATTTCCAGCATAGTACCTCAACCTTCATAAAATATAGAATGGTCCCCAAATTTTCTAAAGCTTGTAGAATATTTCCTACATCATTTCCAGCCCATACATAATTTTTCTCATCCTCTATAGTCAAGGCTAAATGCTTTGTATGTTCAATATTAGGGTTTTCATGATTTTACTCAATTTTGATCCGATTTGGGTATGAAACCAACCTCTATTCAACATTATAAAATCTATTAAATCAAATTCCTAACTTAATTTCATCAAATCACTATCTTTCCCCAAATCTAGGGTTAGGTCGAAATGAACATAAGCATGTATATACATGTATAGGTGATTTTAATCGACAGTCAAGCTTGTAAATGATTCTACAACGTCAATAACATCAAAATCCATCAACAATTAATTAAACCCTAATATGAACATAAACCCTATAATTTAGAATCTTTGAACTCAAGCAAGATTAGCATGCAATAATGGCTCCAAATGATAGCGTTTTTCGAATAGAATAATTTTCTATTTCACGGCAAAATCCAAAAACCAAAGGAAATTGCTAAAAATTGAAAAATAAATATTCTCTTACCTTGGTCATGGGGAGCACGAAATGGAGCTGAAAATGAACAAACTTTATGAGAATCTTCCTTTCCTTTCATGTTAATTTACCTTTTATTTAAGCTTAAATGAATAAAATATTCATTTAATGAGAAATATCCATTTTACCCTTAATGAAACTTCATATTTACCTTAATACAACGCCACATAACCCTTATCATCTTTCCAAATTCAAATTTAAACAAATTATTTTTCCCTTTACAACTTTGCTCATACCATTTTCCAAAAATTTCAATCTTGCCATTTTTATCCAACGATCCAAATTGAACACGAAAATAAATTCTTAAATCCAATGCTCCATAATATTTTTCCATCATTTCAAC